CCCGCGGCATGATTTGCAGGCTTGGGAACGCTATGCTGGACGATCCAAGAAGCATTGGAGGTCCGTCGTCGCAGACGCTGTGCGCAAGTGTGCAGCATGCCAGGCCAGAGCTGCCAAGGCTGTCACGGCCGAAGCAGACCTCTTCGACATACTTTGCGAAGCTGGGGTACCTTATCCTGTCAATGATCACCTTCACCCCCTCCGAGCTCAAGAAAACGAACAGGATCCTAAACGTACTTGTATGTGGTGTGGTAGGCATTTTATTCAGGTTCGTGGTATTAGACAGTATATCGCTCGGATACATCGTTCTTTCACACGCACAATTCGTTCAGTATTGGGTGACGCTACTACTTGTGAGTATTGTAACATGCAGTTCGCCAGCCGCAACGCTCTGACCGAACACCTCGCTAAGGGTGCCCCCAAGTGCGATGTCTCGCTCTTGGCCAACGGTCAGGACTGCAGTGGAGATGCCGAGACAGCCAGTCGCAAGCAGGACTTGATTTTTACTCTCAACTCGGAGGCAGCCACCAAGGCCGCCAACAACATATCTATGGGTCTAGGCAGGTGGATGCCAGCTTACCCAGCAAGAAAAATGCCCCGACTCGTCCCCCCACTGAGCTTGAGCAAAACGTCATAGCTATGCTGTCTGACGCCGAAGCTAGATCAGTATTGGTAGAAGCTGATTCTTTCCGAGGAGACCGCGGCCCAGTTTGTGAACCTTGGCACCTCCCAGGTGTGGGTCCAGGTGGGGCCGTCTCTTCTGGGAGATCGTTTCTGGCTTTTTCGGACCCAGGACTTCCACGCAGAGGCTGCTCGGCACATTCCTCACCGCATCCGACGGTCGTTTTTTTTTTTTTTTTTTTTTTTTTTTTTTTTTTTTTTTTTTTTTTTTTTTTTTGGGGGGGGGGGGGTAGGGGACGCACTGGGGACATCCAGTGGCATCTAGATCGCACTATTAACATTGACCCCCGTTTTACTGTATACTGTTTATCCCATCGACATTGCCATGGGCGCTGTTCGAGGTGATTTGACGCAGCCCCAAGCCTTGGAGCATTGGGCCGAACACATTAGGGCCATGAGGATCCTCAACACAGGGGGGGGGACCTTGCGAAACTTGGTTTGCTGCGAGGTGGTATGCAGGAGGCCCCCCCCCCCCCCTTTGAGGACTAGTGAGCATGTTTGGGGTATCCCGTGTTGCGCCCCCTCCCCGACAGCACTTGCAGGTTGAGACTGGCTCCCAGCTTTTGTTTGCCATTACTTATCTGCTTTCAGTCCACTTGCAGGTGGGCGCCAGCGGGTGGCTTGAGCATCCTACCCCCTCCACTTGGCTCCCTTTCGCCCCCGCCTTCTTTCGATGGCCTCCTTTAGTTGCCCTCTGCTTTGCCCCAGTTTCCTCCGTTACGGACTTCGATCAATGCGAGCATTGGCCTCGGGATATTGACATGTCAGCCGTCGGCCGTGCTCCAACCAGGATTCTCGCGATCCGCATGCCAGTTTTGGCTGAGGAACTAAGAAGCACGCCTGGTTCAGGCAGATGCTCTCACGGGAATGGTATACATATGGCATTTCTTGGTAGGGATAGGAACACATGTCGCACCGCAGGGAAAATATCTACCCCACTGGGCTCTGTGGAGCTCTGGCCAGTGCCATCCTCTCTTCTGTGGAGCAATGTGTTGTCTCCGAGAATGAGGATGCGGATTTCGTCTTTGCCCGCGATTCCCCCGAGGTGCTGAGTTCTCTGTTTGATGTCCTAGTTCCGTGGAGCAACGACTCCGACGAGCGTTTCTTGGTCCCTTCTGACCTTTAGTGTCCAGAAGAAGAATCGCAAACGGGTTGGCCCTGAGAAGCACAGATTTCTTGCCGAGGCTGTGGATATTCCAGGGTCGGCCTCATCACACCAGCAGGAGGCTCTCGAAACCCCCGAAGAGCAGAGCTATATCGAGATCCAGGCTGAAGCTCTAGCTGCAGCCTGCGACGGCCATTTTGGCACGTCCAGCTCTCTCCCTCCGCTCTCGTCGCCTCCGACGTCGTCGACGCCGTCCGTTGTTGTCCCCCCCTCGCCTCCGCCCCTCTTCTCGAGCGAGGCACAGTTGGCCCGCATCGAGACCAACCGTGCAGCGGCTAGAGCCAGGCGCGCGGAGCGCGCCAGGCAGGCACATGTTTTCAGAGCTCCGTGGAGCGCAGAGAGCACGCTCGAGGGCAATTTCTTCGGCGAGCCCTCTGGGGTCCAGGGCCCCGACCTTTTCTTCTTTGGAGGTTAAGTTGGTGGTGGCGTAAGTGGTGGATCCTCGTGAGGTCCCCAGCGCCACCCACCGGTTTGCCTCGTGGGACGAGCACGTAAGACAGCGAAGCCGAGCGTCGCATCATCACCTCCCTCCTCCCTCCCTCCCTCCTCCCTCCTCCTCCTCCTCCTCCTCCTCCCTCCTCCCTCCTTTTTCTTCCGCTTCTCCTCCTTCTCCTCCTCCTCCTCCATTCCTTTTCCTTATATATTACTCCCTGCCGCACCCCGAGGCCGGTCGAAGAGGGCGGGCCAGGCGTTTTGCTTGAGATCTACGTCCTCACCACTAAAAACATCGATGTTTAAACATTGACAGCAGGTCACGGATGGAGGGCGGGCCGTTATCAAAATGTGGCTCTCGCCTAATCGCCGCGGGCATCTGTTTTTCAATATATGCAACAGTTTCACGAATTGAGGGCGGGCCGTTTTCAAAATGTGGATCCTGCCTTCGCGCCACGCACATTCGTTTTAGACATCTACAAGAATTTCACGGATGGAGGGTGGTCCCTTTTCAAAATTTGGCTCTCGCCTTATCGCCGCGCACATTCGTTCTAAACATTGGCAATCCTTTTACGTATTGAGGGCGGGTCGTTTTCAAAATGTGGCTCTCGCCTTGGCGCCGCACGCATTCGTTTTCACTGTTTGCAATAGTTTTGTGGGTTGCGGGCGGGTCGTTTTCAGAATGTGGCTCTTGCTTCAGAGCCGCGCGTGCTCGTTTTAAACATGTTCGTAACAGTTTCACGGATGGATGGCGGGTCAAGTGGCCCTCGCCTTTGCGCCTGGCACATTAGTTTTGAATAGTTGCAAGAGTTTCGCGAATTGTGTGCGGGCCGTTTTCAAACTCTGCCTCTCGCCATTGCGCCGCGTACGTTCATTTTAAACATTTGCACTAGTTCCGTTCGTTCTCATTGTGAACGTACGATTTTTTTGCTGAAGTGGTTCTGGATTGTCAGGGCGCAGCAGTTACGCTGACTCTAAGTGTTGAAGTCCTTGGAATGTGTTCGGGCACGATTCAGGATTGCCAAGACGTCAAGTTCAGGGTAACTCGTGGCGTTGAAGTCCTGAGGATGGTGTTTTGGCACGCTTCAAGATGTTCGCACGATTGTCCCCCAACGGGGCAACATCCTGTGGAGATGACCCCTTTGTAGGGGCCTATGAAAAAGGGATCTTGGAGGGAGTGTGCATTTCAGCATCGTTGATGAGTCCTGGGTTTGCACTGGTCCTCCTCCTCCTCCTCCTCCTTCCCCTCCTCGCGCCGAGGGGGGAAGCGAGAGGGGGCGTGCCTTCTCAGAAGGCGGCGGGGCTTCTCAGAGGCCCTCGCTCCTTCGGAGAAGCTGTCTGCGTCTTCGGAGGAGGCCGGGCAGATGTTTCAGAAGGCCAGAGGGCTTCTGAGAAGCCCCGCCCCGCCTTCTGGAGAAGGCCTGCCCCCTCTACCTTTCCCGGCCTCGCCGCCAAGGGGGGCGGGGGCACGAGCGTTGAGCGGAGGACCGATGTTCGAGGTTTTCGGACGTTCTCTTGGGCTCCTGGAGGCTTTCCAGCCTCGATGCGCTTCCCTGCAGGTGTGCGTTTCGCAGGGAGCGTTCCGGGGCTGCCCGAGTCGTTACGAACGGCCGCCGGATACCCGAGTTGTGACCTGAGATCCAGACCCCCTCGCGTGGTGAACAAAATCTCGGCCCGAGGTTTTAGGCCGTTTTCGGCCCGTGCGTGCTCGTGCAAGGCCCCAGGGCGGTCACAAGACAGCTCAGTGCGAAAGGCTGGCCCTGGGGAAGGGGTCGATACCTCTCAGGGTCCACGTGGAAAGGACACGACGGCGGGGATCTAGGAAGCTGGACGCACGATACTCCTGCGTGCCTTTCCAGCGCTCGCTCGCTCGGCCCTGTCTGTGACACATGGATGGCAATCTCGAGCTGCGCGGAGCTGTCTTACCGCGTTGAGCATCATCTTGGATGCTTATTGTCAAAATCTTTTCGTGCCTCTGGATGCCTCAGGAGGCCTTCGGGGATCTCTGGAGGCATCCAGAGACCTTCGGAGACCTCTGGAGCTTGTTGGAGACCTCTGCTGCACCTTCCAGGGATAAGGATCAGTGCCAGAGGGGGCGCTCGTGTTCCCTCGCCCCGCTTTGTGTATCCTCGGTCCCCCTCTCCCGCCCTCAAATTCATCCGCCGTTCGTGTGCTCATGAGGTTTCAGACGCACGCGCCTGGTGCCCTCACAATGGGGTCGGCGGATTCGCGAGTGTGGTCTTCCTTTTGCGACTGCACCCCTGGCAGATACCCCCTTTTTGAGGACAGAGCTGCGTAGGCATAAATTTTCGGAAGTCCGCGCGGATCTCTTGGGTCGATGCTGGACCCCCCTCCTCCTTGCATCCCTCCCTGGCGCGCGGAGCGCGCCTGGGGCTGCGCTGGAGGCGCCGCCAGGGGTGGTGGGGAGAGGGTTCAGCGCCGACCCAAGAAATCCGCGCAGACCTCCGAGAGTTGAGGTGTCTGCCGTTTTTGGTTCTTCTCCTCTCCAAGACCCATTAGGCAGCCCAAAGAACCCAGTATGCTCACAGTAGGGCGTTGTTGATTATACCCGAAAAGCTCTGAGAGGCCCCACGAGGCCCCAGCGTAGCCCAAGATGATACTCATCTTCATGACCATCACATCATCCAACACCACCACTACCATCATCATTCTGTATCGTCATCACAATCCGCCTGCCCCCCCCCCCCCCCCCCCGGCGGAGGCCTCGTGGCAAGAGCTCGCTGGATTCCTGGCGGCGCTGCAGGCCGCCTGGAGTGCTTTCTAACGCAGGGTAGCACAGGGAGGAGTCGGCCGACGCCTGCTCGCACCTGCGCGAGCCTGGCTCGTTCTAGCCTAACACGTCGGGCCCAGACCCCTCGCGTTGTGAAAATCACGGCGGAGTTTTTTGTTGGCTGCTGTTGCTGCAATTTTTAGCCTCTAGGGGTCTCTGCTGGACCCCATGACCGTCAAAAATGGGTCCAGTACGAAGAGCTGATCCAGGTAGAGGGGTCGAGACCTCTGGGGGGCCACATTGTGAATAAAAGTCACGGCGTCGGGGGTCTTCAGTGGCCTGGTGCCAAGGGAAGGTTCAGACAGGCCCAGGAAGAACATACAGCTTTCCAGAGCTTGTCGGAACTCTCTCGGAGCGTGCCGCAATGGCCGCGGCGCCCGATGCATCTTCCAGATGCGCCGGCTCTCAGAGACTCCGATCTATCTTATTCCGATTTTGTCTCCGTCCTGCCGTCGCCCCTCGAGATGCTTCGTGGGGCCAGATTCGAACGAGCGCCGGCCAGTGGTGGGGCGGTGTTCTCCTGTCTCGGTCGGCCGGCGGCGGCCCACGCATCTCCGAGTTTGGCGCTGGGGAGCTGTCGGACAGGGCGTCGCGGGGCCCATGCTCGCAGGCGCGACAGCTGCGGAGCAGCGGAGGTGGCGCCTGCGACCAGCGAGGCAGCGGCCATGCAGCGCCTGCCGGCCGTGTGGCCCTGGAATTCCCTCTGCGTGGCGATGCCCCATCCAATGAGCATTCGCTGCGCTCCTGCCGTGCTCGAGTGAGTATAGGCTTTCGCACGCGAAGGAGCCACAGGGCCCCAGGTGCAGCTCACGGTGTTTATCCCCCCCTATCTTGGAGAGAACCCTCGAGTACTCTTCGGTTAGTTTCTGCGGCACCCTGTTGATCCCTACGGCTTGTGGCCTCCTTCGCCTCGAGTTTGTTTGTTTCGTTTTGAATTCTCATCTCTGAAGAACAATGATTGCTGATCCCTCCCCTCGGGTAACATTGATGTTTTTTTCATTTGGAGTTCCCCTCTCGGGGCTCGCATCCAGTTCTTTACAAGGGATGTCTTACGACGCCTCAGACTGTGCCCCAGGCTCCCGGTTTAAAAACAACGGCTCCCGCCTGATACTTCTTCACACTTTACTGAAAATCCAGCCTTTCAGGAATCACGCTCTCGCCGTGGACTTCCTCACGATTTATTTGGTAGTCGCGCTATCGCTAGAGACTTCCTCGCGATTAATGCAGAACTCATCGTGTCCGCCCGCTCGACCCGCCCGTTAGGGTCCGCCCGCTCGACCTGCTCGTTTGGTTTTGCCCCTTGCTTTTCTGCTTCTACCCCCCTCCTGCTAATCTCCCTCGTGCTGCATCCTTCTCCCTCCCCCTTGCTCCTTCCCTTCTCCCTCTCTTCCCGCACTCCCTTCCTCCTCGCTCTTTCTTTCTTGTGTCCTGTCTGTCTTCCCTTTTTATGTTTTAGGGGCTGCGCCAACCACATGTCGCAGGTAAGGAAGGTATGCCCCCAAGGGGCGTACGATCGAAGACGAAGAGGACGGGTATCGAGGCTTCGTGATCTACAAGTTGTTTGACACACGAGCAGATGGGAGCGACCAGTCTTACCATGATTTCTATTGTGGTTCTTGTTGTCGTTGTTCTTGCTGTTGTTGTTGCTGTTGCAGTTGTTGTTATTGGTATTGTTATTGTTATTGTTATTGTAGCTGTTGTTATCATTGTTGTTGTTATTCTTCTTATTGCTGTTGTTGTTGTGTTGTTGCTGTTGCTGTCGTCGTCGTCGTCGTCGTCGTCGTCGTTGTTGTTGTTGTTGTTGTTGTTGTGGTTGATGTTGTTGTTGTGGTTGTTGTTGTTCTTGTTGTTGTGGTTGATGTCGTTGCGATTGTTTGTTGTTGCTGTTGTTGTTGTTGTTGTGGTTGTTGTTGTTGTTGTTGTTGTTGTTGTTGTTGTCGTTGTTGTTGTTGTTGTTGTTGTTGTTGCTGTTATTGTTGTTGCGGTTGTTGTTTCTGATGATGGTGGTGGTGGTGATGATGGTGATGATGATGATGATGATGATGATGATGATGATGGTGGTGGTGGTGGTGGTGATGGTGATGATGCTGCTGCTGCTGTTTTGTGTTTGGTTGTGTTGTGTTGTTCGTTGTGCCCCCGCGACGACGAGCTCCGCGCAGCCTCTTGGTGTTGATGGCGGGTCTGGTAAGTGTGACCTGCGGATGGGATGCTCTTCAAAACTGGCCACGAGTGCCGCGCGTATTGTGTGCACTGCCGTGCCAGTCCTCGGCCTGGACCGTTTCTGGGCCTTTGGTGGCTTCTGGGGGCGGTGGGGTACCTTCGGGGGGCCCCCCGGAGACCTCGTTGGATAGGTGCTCCACCGGGAGGCGGTGGTAGTGGTGGTGGAGGCGGCGGTGGAGGAGGAGGAGGAGGAGGAAGGAGGAGGAGGAGGAGGAGGAGGAGGAGGAGGAAGAGGAGGAGGAGGAGGAGCGCAGGGGCGGTTGCCTTTGAGGGGATAAGGTGCGGTAGGCTGTGTCGTGTCGACACGCTTCCGGCTCCAGTGCGGGCATTCAAGGTTGGCGCCGGTGGTCCAGAATCGGCCAATGTGGAAGGATTCGGCAAAGGGAGAGACGCCGATCTCGGCCCCGACGCGCAGAGGGGGGCATGGGGGAGGGGGGAAGGCCTCTTCGAAGGAGGCTGCTTCTCAGAAGGCGCGGGCCTTGCCTAGATGCAGGGCCGGCGCGTTCTCAGAGGCTGCCTCAGTGGCAGGGTTCGCATGGAGTTCCGCCACGATGGTTCAAGGCCCACAGGGAGCTCCACCGAATGCCTCAGTGGCAGGGTTCGCATGCAGTTCCGCCTCTCATTCCGGTGCACCCCTCACACGGTTCGTGGCCCAATGGGGAGCTCCACCGAAGGCCCCAGCGGCAGGGTTCGCATGCAGTTCTGCCCCCATTTCGGTGCCCTTCTCACACGGTTCGTGGCCCCATAGGGAGCTCCGCCGAATGCCCCAGCAGCAGGGTTCGCATGCATTTCCACCGTTATTCCGGCGCACCCCATAGGGAGTTTTGCCGAAGGCTCCAGTGGGAGGGTTCGTATGGCACCACCGCACCCAATTCGGTACACCCCCTCACACGTCCTTTGGCCCCAGAGGATACTCCACGAAAGGCTCCAGTGGGAGGGTTCGCATGGCACCACCGCGCTCAATTCGGCACGCCCCTCACACGGGTCGTGGCCCCATAAGGAGTTCCACCGAAAGCGGTACCCATAATGCGGTACTCGCAGCTGCATATGGCTGGGTCTTTCGTCAGACTTATTTTTGCCGCGGGGCATGCTGGGCGAGGAGAAGCCTCAGGCAGTGGAGGGCAGGTGCTTAACACGTGCTCTGGGTCATTGCGCGCTCGAGTACTTCAGTTCCGCAGATGGAGCTGCAGCATTGCCAGCAAGCGGACACACACACACACAAATGAAAAGACCTCTTCTGGCACCTGGCCACCACCGAGAGCTCTGCGAGGCGGCGCCGTGGCCTTCGGTCTGGCGGTGCCACGGGTGTGCGGAGGTCCCTGCGGCCCCCAGGGGGGCCAAAGTCGGCGCAGAAGGACCATATCCTCCCCGATCCTCCTCTTCCAGCCCAGCGTTGGATGCCCGTTCTGGGGGCCTTCCTGTTGCCACCCGCTCCACTCATGCGGCGATGATGCGTCGATGCTGCGTCGAACGTCCGTCGACTTGAGTCGGGCTCGAGTCGAACTCGAGTCAAATTTGAGTCGAACTTGAGTCGAACTTGAGCCGAAGTATATTCAAGTTCGAGTCGAACAGATCCTCTGGGTGGCCCCCCGTGTGTGCAGGGGCGCTCGTCCCCGCCCCCCTCCCCCCTGCGGCGTGCAGTGCGGCGGTACCCGGCGGGCTCTCCGCCCGCCGGCTTGGGCGCAAGCCCACCCGAGTCCACCAGCGGAGGCAGCTGCTTTGCTGCCTCCCCCCCCCCGCTTGCCCCGCTCGCTCCCCCCTCTTCAGGTTGCGAGGCCGTCTCCCTCCCCATTGGGCGACGAGATCTATGCATATCCACTGCTCCCGGCCAGGCCCATCCTGGGCCCAGGAGCGGTGTATATGCCTCCCTGGCCAAGCCAGGAGGGCGTATACACAGCTCTTGGGCCCAGGATTGGCCTGGCCGGGAGCAGTGGATATGTATAGATATCGTCGCCCTATCCCCATCCCCCGTCCCCGTCGCCCTTCTCCGCCCCCTTTTCCTCGTCCACCCCCCTCCTCCCGCCCCCCTCCTTCTTCCTAACCCCGTCCCTCCTTCCCGCGCTCTCTCCTTAGTTACTCACTCCTTCGTGCCTCCTTCCTTCCTCCTTCCTTCCTCCCTCCTTCCTCCCTCCTCCTCCCTCCTCTCTCCCCCCTCCCTCTTTCTTCCGTAGCCATTTTGGCTCAAGGTTGACGCACCTGGGGGCTCGGCGCCTCCGTGCCAAAGCGGGATAGCTCTGTTCCCCGAGCCAGTCTGCAGTGTTTTCGTGAGCTCCTGTCGGAGCAAGTTGTGTGAGCTCCTGTCGGAGCGGATGGTCAAGTATGGCAAGCAGGGCTTCTCGACGTGCGTGCAGTGGAGCAGCTGGGCGTGGAATTGGAGGCTCAAGGAGCAGAAAGGGGTGTGCGCGGTCTGCAACACACCTCAGCCAGGATGGAGCACTACCGCGAGCGGCACGTGGTGGGCGCCGTGGTCCTCGGGCAGTGGGCGGCAGGAGCAGTGCCTGCCTCAGTCGTCACTCGCCAGCCTCGGGGGCTACCTGTCGAAGGCTCTCCCGACGCGACGCGCCTGGCGGCGGAGTTCAGGACCCTGGCGTCCCAGAAGCTGGTGGCGGCTCCCGCGCCGCCCAAGCCCCCGCATGCGCTGCTCAAGGAGGCTACGACAGATTGCTCGCGCAAGCAGGAGGCACTGGAGAGGGCTGCCAAGACGCTGGGACAGGCTCGCCTCCAGTTCGAGAAGGCCCAGTCCAAGTTCGACGAGGCCGCCGACGCGGTCATGGCAGCCGAACTGCATCGCCTGGAGGTGCAGGAGGCTGCGAACCCACCCGAGACGGCCAAGAAGTCCTTGTTCGGGGTGGACCCCGCGCTCTTCGAAAGCCTCGACGAGCTCGAGGAGAACGACAAGCAGGCGCTCGAGCAGTTCCAGGAGCAGCTACAGGTCGTCACGCAGCAGGCGGAGGCCGATCAGAAGGAGTTCCAGGCTCTGCAAGAGCGTGCGCGGTCGGCGCGCTTGGTGGCGGCCAAGCGGCGCAAGCGCGGCCCCGACGGCGAGGCAGTCGAAGGCGGAGCGGGCGGCACGGCTGCGGCCTCTGGTGCCCCCCCGCGGCGCCTGGTGCCGCTGCTGCCGCCGCTGGGCCCAGCAAGTCGAAGATCGTGGTGCAGGAGAGCGACCAGAAGGCCATGCTCGAGCGCATCAAGGCCAGCGCTCGGGCGCAGGCGCACGAGGCCGCTGCTTGCAAGGCCGCTGGTGCTGGCAAAGGCGGCGCTGCGGGCTCTGGCAAGGGCCTCGCTGCTGCTGGTGCTGGCGCAGGCCGTGTTTAGCACGGCGGCGTGCCCTTATTGCAGGGGCGAGTCTGCAGGAGTACCTCTGCATGAGTCCGAGGGCGCCTCGTCTTTGGACATTCTCTTCGGCAGCATTACGGAGTGGGGCCCGCAGGCTGCGCGTTTCTTGACCCAGGAGCAGGGGCGCAGCATCGTGGCCCTAGTTGAGACGCACAAGGGAGATCTGGATCTGCCAGATATATGTCCGTCGGTTGATAAGGGCGGC